CCGAGTTGTGGCCACTACAAAGGTCTCCAGGGACAGCAGCTGTCCCCTTGGAGGAGGGAGAGGAAGAGCGAGGGGGTGGGTACGGCCCCTGGTGGAGAGCCACTAATTTAGGAGAAGAAAGCAGAGCCCCTGGGACATGGGACGTTTTGGGCTAGTGAAGAACTTGCTTCACCTGGGAGAAAGGTCGCAATTTTGCCAAAGGGGACAAACCTTTTCTTGCTTAGTACCTAACAGAGGAAAATCTGAGAATTACTGAGGTGCCCTACTGACATTTGGGGAAATGAAGGGCATCTCAGGCTCACAGACCATGGCTGGGTGATACTGTAAGTGGCGGTTACTACCACTCTGAACCCCAAAGGAGAGCAGGGCTGTTTCATCCTTGGGGTACTATATAGACCCAAATCCTAGTGCCTGTGAGCTACTTTGGAGCCCATGAAAGTATAAGAAGTAACAAAAAGGCACCCAAACCATGCAAAACCAAATGAATAAATATACCTAAAAATGTAAAATTCTCACAACTTCATTCATTACTAAATATTGTTTATAACAATTTAATTAATTTGAAAATAATTTGTAGGTAAAATTTCTTAATTCTAAAAATTCCTTTGCAGAGAAACTATGATTGTAAATTAAATTAGTGACACAGAAAAATAATTTCTAGAGAAAAGTTTTAAATTTTAATTTTGCCACAAAGTAAAACTTTACCATCAGATTATTCTTTATGTGTTTGTTTATTACATGAAGGAGAGCCTCAAAAAGTGAGCACAGAAAACAATCTTATAGAACCTTAAAATAGCTCTGGAGGGATTTTGCTTCCAGCCNGGGGTACTATATAGACCCAAATCCTAGTGCCTGTGAGCTACTTTGGAGCCCATGAAAGTATAAGAAGTAACAAAAAGGCACCCAAACCATGCAAAACCAAATGAATAAATATACCTAAAAATGTAAAATTCTCACAACTTCATTCATTACTAAATATTGTTTATAACAATTTAATTAATTTGAAAATAATTTGTAGGTAAAATTTCTTAATTCTAAAAATTCCTTTGCAGAGAAACTATGATTGTAAATTAAATTAGTGACACAGAAAAATAATTTCTAGAGAAAAGTTTTAAATTTTAATTTTGCCACAAAGTAAAACTTTACCATCAGATTATTCTTTATGTGTTTATTACATGAAGGAGAGCCTCAAAAAGTGAGCACAGAACACAATCTTATAGAACCTTAAAATAGCTCTGGAGGGATTTTGCTTCCAGCCAAGAGGAAACAACTGTGGCTGGATTTCACGCCTGACACAGCTAAAAATACAGACAAAATAAATGAGACAATAGTGTTCAAGGCACTGGACAAGAGGCAATGAAGGGCAGTGATCCCTGAAAGATGGGAACCAGAAGAAGTGAGCCCTACGAATGCCCTAGTTTGCTGCCTGGAGGGAGTCTCCAGGTCACACACACAGGGGGGAACCCAGAAGAGTGACTGGTGGTCTCCCCGAGTTGAGCTGATAAAACTGGGAATGTGGGGAGGCCAAAGCAACTGGAGTTCGCAAGGCAGAGCACCGGGGAGGGGCACACTGCGGAGAGCTGGGCTGCTCTGCACAGGCTCCCTTGAGTCTTCAGCACAGTACTGAGGAGCCTGGGAAGAAACTACCTAAGGGCCAGAGAGAAACCATCCAAAAGGACCGGAGCAAACAATCATCAGGGCTCACACAGGGCCAAGAATACATTCTGTTCCCACCAACCAACATAAAAAGACCCCACCTCAGCAGACAGCAGGTAGAGGACTTCAGTTTGGGTTAATTAATAACTCCAGTATGAACACATTTCTCTAACAGGGACCGCTGGTGGTGCTGGGAAGTATTCCTTGCAGAGTAGTGTTTTTTCCTTTAGTTTGTCTGATACAGAATACTGAGTATTTGAGATTCTGGGCCACTGAGCAGTGTACTTTTCCCTGGTGACAGGGGACTCCAGAAGCAAGAGGTGACAGCACAACCCATTCTCAGGTCAAGCCAAAGGCATCTTTGACGTGAGTTTTACAACATTCAATGTGGTGAAACTTTCTAGAAGTTCCTCAGAATTAGGTGGTATAAAGATTGAGATGAGATGATGTCTAGAAAGGGGAAAAATAGGGCTTATTTCTCCATGATCCAAATCTTAATTGGAGATTGAGTGAGGGTGGGGGATTTCAGTAGAAAAGGGAAAATTAAAAGGCGAGAAAAAATGAGTTGTGAGAATTATATTTTATGTAAAATAAAATATACTAAAAATGTATTAAGAGTTAGCCAAATCCCCAGTCCAACTCATCTGTAACACATGTTAAACAGGCATTGACTTTCTTGGTGGCACTGAGCTACCCCTCACTGTTCTGGATCATTTCTATTCAGTACATTATCTCCAACCAGGATCACAGTTTGCATTTAATTTCCCAACACAGGAAACTTTTTTTTTAAGCAACAAAGACATTAAGGAAGAGGAACATTAAATGGGATTGTAGATGAGTGCAAACTAGATTTCATCATGAGATGGTGTGGGATTTAAGAAGGCTCTATGAGGCTCTCAAGAGAAATACTTAAGTTTTAGAGATGCTTTTCAACGCTTGCAAAGAATGACAATGGGAAAACCCATATCTGATACAAGGGTGGCATTGGCACTCCCTTTTTCCCCCAGTCTGTCCCCCTCCACGGTCTCTCATAGCCAGATCTATGATCCAGCCCTTGAACTAGCTCAGATTAAGGCAGAGAGATATAAAGAGCATAAAATACACAATCCAGGAAATCCAGAATCGAGTTAAATCTTTACAAAATACACAATACTCAGAGGCCCTGATACCTAGGCCCCCACATTGCTCTTAGTGGCTTTTTAGACCCAAGGATCATTCCTGGTTCCCTTAGAGCTCCCATAGTACACTGGTCTGGTCCTTGTGACCACTCATTAGCTCTGTCCCGACTGCTTAAATCTGATGAATCACTCTCATAAAACCTCAGTCTCCACGTCTTGGGTCAATCCTTCCTAGGTCTTGCATGAACTCAACACGATCCTAATGTAGGTCCTTGGGTCAGTCTCTTCTACTTACTCCATCCAGGTAAGACCCACTATACCTTGAACCCAAACAACAATGAAAATAGTGTCTGGAAGGCCTAAAAATCAAAATGTAAAACAGAACATATTTCAAAACGTAAAACTGAAAGGGGAAATTATTCCACTAAATTCTATCTCTGGGTCTCTTTGATTGTTAAAAAAATACACACTTTCGATTGCTGTTTTAAAAGATGTGTTCCTTAATTAAATATAATAAAAGCTAAAGTAAAATGGGTGTGGGGGGGAAGTAAATCATCTCTGTTAGAGACCAGTCTTTTCAAAACAAGCTGAAGCACAAGGATGCAGCTGAACACAGCTCAGCAGACGACTGGAGCTGGGAAGCAAGCAGAGAGCATAATACTGTCTAAATGGCTGATGGGCACCCTGGGTGATCTGAGCCACCACCAAGAGAACTGCTTAATAGGAAAACACATGCCCAGACATGCAAGCATGGCCCTTCTTTTTAAAATTGTCGATGTTGTTTACCCCTAATTTTCCATCGGGGGGGGGGGGTTGCGGGGAGGACACATAGCTGGAAAAAGTAGCAGGGCACAAAGAGCTTTTTTTAATGAAAACATAATTAATGTTTCCTTTGATAAAATCAAAGACTGGAAGGAAATGAGGTCTTG